GGGGTTTGATCGGAAAAAACCAAACCGCTCATATAGTTCTTCATGTGAGTATGGGCCTGCTAATCTCCCTTCTCTAAGTTCTCTTGCTAACGTCTTTCCGATTTCGTCTTTCACGTCTAGGGCCGTGGAGTGGTTATCCGGAGTCCACCACTTCCTCTTGCCTAGGTGATGTTGGGGAATCCCTAGGCAGAAGCCTTCCATGAACCCATCAAGGATGTAGGGTATGTCTTCCTGGAGGCCCGCCTCATCCATTAACTCCTTCCACTTATCTAGGACCATTTCACTCTTTACTTCCGCTGGCCACTTTGTTACTCCACCGGCTTTGAACAGTTTCCTTTCTGCAAGGGGGAGTATCGTTTTTGCCTGAAGTGAGGATGAGGAATCGTGTGAAGAGACTGAGTCCGTCTCATCTACGTCGCCATGTTGCTCTACTACTTCCTCCGCTACCTTAGTCAAGGCGGATAAGCTTATTTCTCTCGTTTCAGGTGGATCGTTGTTCAACCTTACTTCAGGCCACGTCTCTCCTGGGGTGTCCTGTTTCAGGACTAATCTGTCTCTCTCAAGGACCCATTTACGTGGACCAGTAGGGCTGCGGGCTGTTATCATGTATGAGAATCAACATTTCATTCAGAAATCGCCCCCAAGCTCACTTTCACTCTGACAACATGATTTCGCACACAGACGGAAAGGAAACCAGATTTAAGTGAAATCATCTTCATACCAGGAATTATGTTCAAGAACAAGAGGAGAACAAGGGGCGATATGCACAGAGATGGGGTGTGACACGAAACCATCGTCATGCGTCGGCAGCAAGAGTGGGTGGTAAAACACAGTTACCCCAGTCAGTAAACACTCTCACAAAAACACATTCGGAGAACTGATTCTCACCAAGCTCCGTTCTCGTGGACCTTTCCTTTCCCCTTTCCTCCTTGCTTGTTGGCGTGCTGTTGACCATGAGCAACCCAATCGTGGCCACCGTTTCCGGAGTATGCCATATTGTGCTGATACTGGTTTGGATACACTTGGTAACCCGAACCGAACATTGCACCACCATGGAACCCTTGAAATTGGTTTCCACCTTGATTTCTCGGAGGGAAATACGGTCGTTTCTGGTAAAAGTTTCCTCCTCTATTACCTCTACCCCTATTGCCACCTCGTTTTTTCTTGGCTGACTTGTCTGACGTCTCACCATCTACTTCTGTCACCTGATTTTCCACCAATCGGGAAGTACTGGCTGCTGGGGGGTTTTTCGTCAAAGGCTGGCCGGTGTAGAAGTCAAATCCATACTTTTGTTGGCCTGGGGCGTACGGGTTGTTTTCGTACATCAAGTCCCCTGCAGTCTCAGCATCCCACTTAGCTCGCCTCGCCGCTTCCTCTTGTACTCCATCCGGTAAGATAACTTTTTCCACCTTTTTTCCTCGCTTCCCATTCTTTTTCTTCCTGTACATAATCCTCGACCTCTTCCTGAACACCAGAGCTCTAATGATCAGGTGGTACCTCAGTCCCACCATCCAACACTTGTGTTGTACCATAAGCTGACTCACAACCTCTTTGTGTTTCGTGATGTATCTAGCATACGCTTCGTGGCCGTAAAGTTCTGCTGCGTAACGAGTCTCTAAATCGCAAGCTAGGATGAAGTCTCCATAATTCATCTGGCGTTCTAGGTCTCTCTCCGAAGTCGACAGAGTGAAAGTTTTCTTGCTCTTCTTTAGTCCATCATCGACCGTCGAGTGGTATGCGTCTATGTATGACCGCTTGAAGACTGATAAAGGTACGTATTTCTTAAGCTTCTTAAAGCACTTGTCCCAATGTCCTGGGAGGTCTGGTAAGTCCAAACCTGCTAGAGCATTTAATTCAAATCTGACATTGGCTTTTGACATCAGTACTTCATCTTCTCCTGATTCCGAGGACGAATCTGATGAGCTCGAAGAGTCAGAGCCTGACGTGGAAGAGTCTTCTGAGTCGGAATCGTCCGACGAAGACGACGACGAGCTTTCCGAACTGGAAGATGTCGAGCTTGTGGAACTAGGAGTGGACGGGGTTTTCCTCTTCCTCCTGTTCTTCTTGCTCTTACGAGAGTGTTTGTTTTTCCTCTTTGACTTCCCGTCTTTCTTGCCTTCCGGTTTATCTTTCTTCTTACTTCCACCTTTCTTCGACTCCATTTCACCTTTCCTCTTCAACCTTTCTAACCTTTTCACTTCTAGCTTCAATGCCTTTAGCTCTTCTTCTTTCACCATCTTGCTTCTCAAGGTCTGGATCATGTCCATATCGACCCCTTCTATCGCGGAGGTTAAGCGTTCGACTAGTGGGCGAGTGTCCACTGGAGCAGTCGGAGTTTTCGGAAGAGCTTCTCTAGCTAGCGTGGGTATCGCGTCCAATGGCAGAGTGCCTTGAACTTCTCCCGTGGGAGGGTGGTTCAGCTGAGGGGTGGTTTCAACTGTTTAGATAGAAAGGAAACCAACTATGGTCAGTCTACCCGTCCTCCATTCTTCTACTATGAAGCAACTAATGGGAAGGTAAAGAATTAAGGATTCTGCTACTACAATCGATATTTGGAGCATTATAGACCAGGGTTTCTTTTTCTACTTGCTCTGCTTCAACCTTTAAACTCAGGGAGCTCTCTCCGACAGGATCGCGGTGAGTCAAGTTCTCCCTTATTGGGCTTTCTTTGATTCCTCTTCTGTTTGCCAACTGGAGATGGGACTGAACAGGGTTCTGTGAACTGTAGACATTCTCAGGAGCTTTGTTTGGCTACGACTGTTTCAACTCGAAAGTTTTTATCAATTTAATTCCACATATGTTCAGTTATTGGGAGCCTCTGGGGCTGCGACCATCTATATACACGGGAGCTGTGCTAGCAGCTGCTACCTTGTTTAGGATTAATTCACCCTACTGATAAAAAGGGAAATAGTTGGAGGATATTGTCTGAATCGAACTCACTATGATCGTGTTCGATCAGTCCTTCAAACAATTCTCTTTTCTTCTTCCTGACTTGGTCGTCATCTCGTAAGTCTGTTGAGTCTACGCTCGTTCCTCTTTTCTTCTTACTTTTCACCTTCCTCTTCTTCTTGAGCTCCTTTCCTTTCCCCCTCTCTTCTTCTTCCACCGATGACGAGGCTGTGCCTTCCTGTTCTTCCTCATCACTGACTATTAATACCATGTTCTCCCCTGTCTTCGCTTCCGCCATACTACTCTCCACCTGACTTAGAATCAAGCTCGATGTGCCTTGAACGTTGGACGTGTTGTTCAAAGTGTCGACCGTATCTTCCTTCGATGTGGTGACTCGTTCCAACGGAAAGGTCGAAGTCTGAGGGGTGGAGGTGAGGGTGTTTGCTCCTGGGTCTCTAGATCCAGCCCGTCTTTCTCTTTCTTCTGCTTGTTCTTTCAATTTCAAGGCGTGGGCCTTTTTCTTTTCTTCTTCTAATTTTACCACTTCTAGCATTTTCTTTGATTTCGGTAAATGTGTTGATTTTTTCTGTTTAAGTGTTCTCCACATTCAAATGCTTCTCTTGTAAATCTTAATGTCTACCGTGGTTGGAATTTAAGAATTTTAAGAAATAGCAAAGAAATGACCTTGCGAGAATGACAGGTGTAGGCAGCGGGGGATATTTGGATAGTGAGAGGGAGAAGAAATTTTTTCTTTCCTCTAACTTCCAAATTCGTGTGTGGTGACCATGACACATGGTACCGCCCATGACATCCCCGCTTCACCTGTCACTACTCTCATTCCTGAGTATGGAACTCATGGTACCGTCGCAGGCTAGGAACAATACCCATTGACTGTGACACTATTCAGGTACATGTGGGTGTGAAGAATAAGACAGAGTATCCTTCACCGGTAGCCGCATTGTCAGTGATTGAAAATCAATCATGTGCGGCTTTTGTGGAAGATGTCAATATAATTGTAAGCTTGGTCTTGAAGGATCAAGTTCAGGAATTTGTCTTTGGATGTTGATATGCAACACAAGGGCAAAGAGGATATCTCTCAGAGATAATCACAAAGTAAAGGCAAATTAAAAACGAAATCAAAGACGCAACATGTGGAACGCGCATACACATTTGGTATGTCATGTTTGATCAAGACGTGAAGTCCATTTGCTTGAAGTCACCCTTGGCAATATTGAAATTTTGTTAACATTATGATATTACAACACAGGCCCCATGGCGGGGTGTGATCTGGAACGAGAGGTGGAGGGTGCGCATGCAAGGTATCATTTTGGTCCGTCTTGTGTTTTCCGGCCATACTCCAGCTCAACACACGCCCCACCAACTGTTGAGTCACCATGGGTTATTCGAGTTGAGGGTATACTCGGGCCGTGGCTGCGCCTACAGAACCATGCTGAAATTTGCAACTTCTCCATATGGGCTGACAAGACGCGACAAACTTGAAAACGAGATACATACATGAGAACGATGTGCAATAGATAATCATCAGCACGGTAGACGCGGCAACTTATTTCACCTGGCATGGTCCGTCTTAATTTATGTTTTCCTGAGGCTATACTCCAGCTCAACAGACGCCCTACCAATCGTTAAGTCACAAGAACATGGCTTATTCGAGTTGAGAGTATACTTGGGCCGTGACTGCGCCTACAGAACCATGCTGAAATTTTCAACTTCTCCAGAATCAGATGGGCTGACAAGACGCGACAAAATTGAAAACGAGATAAAAACATGAGACGATGTGCAATCAATGATCATCAGCACGGTGAACGTGGCAAATTATTTCACCTGGCACTTTCGTATTCTGACAGCCAAGTATGAATAATCGAGATGGATATAAAATTGCAGATGTTCTTGGACGTGTTTGATAATTCCTCACCCAGTCAAATCCTCAGCATACATATCTCCTACATCATCAATTCTCTTATTCCAAACCTTTGTTCAAATTCTCTCATCTTTGTTCTTAGTTTGTATATATACGTTTAAATATAAAATATTACTTCGCACTACATCTTCGGCTGAGCCTTACTTCCACCACATCCCTTTAAGACCTCAACATGCGTATCAATCACAGTTTCGTCGTGGCCTCCATGGCCCTTTTGTTTGTACTTGAGTTCACCAACACAAACACCGTCTCCGCAAACTCTGGGGGCGACGGATCTGGTCTCATCAGGTAAGTTTCGAACGCCCTTGCAACATCAGAAGCGGTTTTTAACTTAATATCTCCCTCTGTAGAGTACTTCGTCGTCGATCTCTCAGCGCTGAATCCCCAAACACCAATGAAGAAACCACCCAGGGCGAACCCATAGCTACACAGTTAGTCACAAGCTTTCTTTAACTTAGGCAACGTACTAAGCTTCATGATTGTAGTCCTGTTCAACAATCCGGCGTGCCTCAGTTAGGGCTTTCGGCCGGAATGATACAGCTTATCTCAACCGGTCTCGTTCGCTCTATTGCCAAGTTCTCGGCCGATAAAGAAGCTGGAGTTGAATTTCCAACTCAGCAAGAAATGACGCAAGCTATTGATCAAGCACTTTGGACATCAGATTCAACCAACTCCGCCAAAGTCGCTCAAGCCATCAAGAATTCCATCGATGCTCTTGCTGATCGGAAACTCGCTGAAGGTGAAACTGGAAGGAATCGGTAGGTCACCGTTTGATCTCCTCTATCTTCCATCGCCGATCTAATCATCATTTTATTCATAGCACGTCAAAGGTTTCAAAACCCACTCCACCATCTGCTCGAACTTCTTCCGACCAAATTGCAGCTGCTCTCCTCCAAACCATTCACGCGTTTTGTGAAGATAAAGCTGCCGGTGGTCGATTACCAACTGCAACTGAAGTCAACAAAGCATTAACACCAGCCTTACAAAGTATTGACTTTGGTAATGTCAAGAAAGGTGCAGGGGCTGTGAAGTTTGGATTAGATCAAATGGGTACTACACACAACTCTGAAAATGACACTCCCTCTCCCTGCCCAAACTCATGAAGCAGATCTACAAGCTTGATTTTAAAGGCAATGTATGACTACCTTCATGTCTACAATTGATCGTGTCGTGTACTTGGGGTGTTATTATTACTTCTGTGAAGTGTGTTTCTTATTTTCAAATATATCTCAACCATCGTATGTATACAAAATGCTGTACGCAGAATCAGAAACCAAGAATTTTTTGTTGTCCATGCGCCACAGTTTTCCGTGAGAAGAGTCTTCATCGAAACACCATCTGGTTCTCAAAGACTGTAATTTTGATTCCAATTGTGTATTTCAAAGTGCCGTGAATGGTAAGTTGATCTCGCATAACATGTTGGTTGCTTTGTGATTTGTGTCCTTAGAATATCAGTCGGTCAACCTCTCCTGTGGGCTCTTTCTAGGCTTCTTTAGATCAAAATGTCACGCAATGTCTGACTCCGAGGGAGCCACGCTTCACAACCAGTCACACTTGATTAACCCTATCTCATTTGTTCTGAGACATCATGTCACAATCTTGGTTCCATTTCATCTCAATCGGATTGATGCTACATTTGACTACAATATTATCAGCATAATGCACCAAAAGCTAAATGGTGTTCGTTGACTTAGCAGATTTATCTTTCAGTTTACGTTCAAGTTTCATAAACGCCTTGGTAGCAGGATCCATATCATCATCCATGTCATCCTCGAGATCTTCATTTTGTTTCGTAGCAGATGAATAAGGCGAGCCAAGTTCTTGAACCTTTTGCTTGACATTTCGCATAGCACATTTGTAAGCCTGGAGCTCCTCCATATATATATCATGAACGCAATGGGCACAGCCTAAAGAGATATTAGATACATCAGTTTATCAGGAATCATCTTTTTGTCTCACAATCGCTCTCGATATCTCACCTGACATGCAACAATCTTCAGGGCCGGGTGGCGTAGGTTTCGCCGGAACCAATAAGGTAAGCTCTTGCCTCTTCCCTTCGCTTGCTGATAAGTTTAGTAAGCTTTGCACTTGACTCGTATTAGGTAATGAAGAGACTAGTGGCTCAAAGCCATCGGAATCGCCATCCGTTTCCTTGAACGTAAGCCCTACAGTTCCCTGACGATGTTCCTCTCGAGACCCGCCTGACCATTGATGCCTCAAATTTAGAAACCCTCTATCAACACAAATCCAAGAGGCTGAGAAGGTTGAAGAACCGTCCTTTTTTGAGGTGGAATCTTGACCTTCTGATTGAGCTCGAAGCTCGGTAGTCATTCCATTATTCGAAAAAGTTGTACCTCTCCATTGACCAAGTCCTTCACCTAGCACATATACACGTCTATAAAGAGTTGAATAGTTTGAGAAATTTCGTCTTGAGTATAGCTGAGTAGTTTTTCTATGAAGGTTTCTAATTCGACAGTAGTCGAACATGAGAATACAAGGTCGGAGCGATCTAAGCAATGATGCTGGGTTTTCCTCATGAATGTGAGCGCGTGGACCCGACTCAGCCTTTTTCAATATACCCCGGTACCGAATACCGATGTAACTTTCAGACACTGTGGCAAGAATATTCAGAAGTTGGACTCAAGAAAATGAACATCTCCCATATTTCATCACAGAAGTTGGTACACAGTATTTTTGGGGGGCACATAGAAGCATACGTTCTTGGTTGGAATGTGGATAAATATCATTGAATTCGGAATACGTCATTGTGGGATTTTATCGGCGAACATACAACCTTCCAGTGAAACCTTCATACAATTCTTGATGGATCTCATGAACCCAAGCAAAATGTTCAGACCATGTCCGATCTGAAAATCATCTGACGAGATGAAATGCTGTAAATATCCCGATCACAACCATGGACAACTCATTCAACTAAGCCTAAGGAGTTCGCCCTACATTATATGATGCACGCGAAGTTCTTGAGAGTCAATTTGTTCACTTCCATATCTAGGAAGCTGATGCGTAAGGTTGTTTCAAGATGAAATGTAGGTATGTAAAGAGATCACCTTGGATGATTCCGGAATCATTGGGTGATAAGGCAATGTAGATGATAATCCATCTTCTCTAGATAAGTCGGTGAATTGTAACTCACGGCCAAACTTGAACTCTTAGCTTATGTTTGCCATCTCCACAGGCACAAAAAGTTCAAGGCTCAATAACAATGATGAGCTGGGCATACGTATCACCAGTCAATGAATTTTCAACCATGGTGCCTGTTTTTGTTCCTACCCAGCTCTGCGGTCAAATGAATCATGGGTATACGAATTTCCTTTATATGAAGCCACATCCTCCGAGTCTGGATCTCATATCATTCCCCATTTCCTTTTTAATTCCAAACTTATTTACCCACATCACAACTTTACTTGATTTTCTTTCTGACGATGTTTACATCCAAATTCAACTCAGTCCTTTCCAGTCCAAATGAACGCGATTTCACTGCCCGCGATCCTAAAAGATGCGGTACATTCTTTACTCCCGATATTATAGAGAAATTTTCAACACAGGCAGCAATACCTCAGATATCCGCACCAACACTTAATTATCATTCAAAGCCTTTCATACCGCTTCCTGCTCGTCCTACTCTACCAATGGGAAAGACTACAGCCCCCACGGATTTCAGCACGATGCAACTACCACCACAAAGTCAAATGGATATAGCGATGGGTTGTCGAGTGTTGGATTCACGTGGCAACTCGTTTGAATTCAGTCAATTGATTGATAGAAAATGTCGTACGGTTGTGATCTTCATCAGGAACTTTCGGTAAGTCAACTTTGCCCTAAACTCAACAGCTCTGGGACTCATTCATAGATTAACCTTTTGGGCAATTTTGATCAGATGTGCTTTCTGTCAAGCGTACATTAAACATCTTTCCACCATCGCTAACGAGCGTGAAGAATATGGTGTGATCAAGTCAGCTGGAATCAAAGTCGTGATCATTGGCCTCGGTAGTCACTACATGATTCAGAAATACGGTGGTATGTCATCTATCTATCCCGCACTCTAGACTTACAATGAAACTTACGTCTAGCGATCTGTTACTACCAGCACTCTTCCCGTGCCCATACCCAATTTACACGGATGCATCTGAGTCCAATAGACTTTATCGTGCACTTGGAATGAACAAGAGAAGCATTGAAAGTGGACCTGACCTACTCAAAGGGGATTATTTAGAGTCTATGTCAACCCTTGAGTTACTTACATACGGTATCAAGGTGAGCAATCTAATTCTTTGTCGCGCGAGATTGTTTCCTTATCTAATCTATCGTATCTTCCTACCTCCAGAATTCGTTGAAACTACCAGGCCTTAAGTCCCCCGGTGATTTGAAACAATTGGGTAAGTTGATTCAAACTAAGATTCCCAGTCTTTTTGATCTCAAACTTGAATTGAGCACGATGATTATTTCACTAATATACTCCTAATCTCTTTAAAATCACAGGTGGAGAGCTGATATTCGAACCAGTGCCAACCTTCAAAGCTGCAAGAATCCCAGTAAAAGTCAAAGCCTTGGAGCTGAAAGCATTAACAGGAATCCCGAGCATCACGCTCAATGTTCCAAAACCATCAACTCCAAATGCCCAAGTTAGTCTATCATTAGATAGATCATCAATCTATGTTCCTTCAGGAGGACTTGGACCATTTTTGAATTTGAAGCCAACTTCACCTATGGTCAGTATACATTGTAGGTTTGCACATCGAATGAGGTAAGTTATTTTTGATCAAACTCTTTATAAGAACTCGTCTTAGGGTTTGTCATTGATCTTGGTTCTTTGTCTTCTTCTTAGTTTTACTAGGGATCATTTGTCATTGTATGATTTGTTTGGTAGAGCAGGTATCAGGCTTGAATCTAATCCCAAAAAAACTCTCAGTTGGATTTAATGTGGAGACCATTATTCTGACTTAATCTAATTAGTTCAATTTTTCATCAATCATATCCGTGTCATTGTATAACTCTCTTCCAAATATCACTACATCTTTTCTTTTATTCAATTAAATTGTATAATTAATCTTTTTCTCTAAATCCAAATCTTATGTCATCTTGGCCCTTATCTTATCTAACTGCATACACATTTTATTTAATTTTTGGTATAATACTATTTGAAATTTTTACCACCAGTTAGTTAGTTTTGGTGAAGCAATTTGAATGTAAAGAATCTTATAAGACCAATAAACATTCATCAACTTCAGCTTCGATTATATCTGGGCCGCGATCATCGGCTAGAAGTTCCATTTTATGTGGAACAAATCCAAATATTGCTTTTGACTGTTTCTATATATTAGACCTAATAGTCGCAGACCCAAAAGTAAACCAGCTGAGATCCATTACAATTGTCTCTTGTGCAAGTGTCGCACTCGAAACAAATTTCTACTCTCACTATTCGCGCTGTTTTGTCAGGGTATTAAGATTTTCTTGATTCAAATTAACATTCAATCAATTCTATTTATTAAGTATAAAAGTAGATGATTTAATCCCATCAAAGATACAAGTACCAGACAAAGGAATATATTGATGTGAACTTAATTTAATTGCTTCAGAGTTGGCAAGTCACCGTCTGATTTTCACCAGAATTTGTTGATCATATTAATCTAACTACCCATCAAATCAAGCTTGATTTGACAGTCATATTTTGACTTCCTTCATTTTTATAATTGATTGTGTGCTAGGGCTGTCACCATTACTTCTGTGAAGTGTTATCTCTCTTTGTCATTATATCAAGTCCCTGCAACAATTTCTATTGTTCCAGTAGTTTTCCGTCAGAGACATCTTGATCAAACCAGTCTCTCAAACACTGGGATTTTGATGTGAACCAAGATACCCGGATGGCAACTTGGTTCCTCAGATATCATGTTCGTGACAACTTTTGTAATGACTCTCATCTATGTCTTTGAACAGGTACTTTCTTTTCTCTCATCACTCCATTGCGATAGCTGGGCCTAATAGCGCCTATACATACTTAATTTGTTGTGATTCCTTCAAACCAGATCTGCATACCGTATGTTGATAAAATCAGTGAAAAAAAATCCGAAAAAGGAGTGTGATGAGATTATTTAAGGTGAAGTTGTAATATCCTTTACCCCTCTGAGTCTACTTAGTACACAGATAGCTCCTCCCAATAGTCATCTGTTTTTCTTAATCGTGTGGGCATTTCAAATTCCTCAATACCCAAAATTTTATTTAGTGAGGATCAAAGTCAAGATTATGCAGAATGTACACATGTCCTTTAAAACAGAATTGATCAACCATCAACTTGAATCTGCTTCATTTTACATTGAGTAACTTATTGAAAAGATCCAAATTTATAAAATGAAAGGATACATATTCTCCTTGAATGAGATTTAAAAATATCGCCGTGAAACCTTGCAATTCTCATAACATCAATACCACACAAGTGGAATAGCTAATCCATATCCTATTGGACCCAATCTGTGTGTTTCTCTTCATCATACCAGCTTGGCTTAGTGAGTTGTTGGAAATGATCACTTTTTTGGCTTCTACCCCAAACTCTTCAGACTCCAATTTACCACTTCCATTCTATGTATTGGATTTTGAAAAGCTTCAGAATTCTTTCTTTCTCTCATCTATGATTTATATTGTATATATTCAAAAAAAACTAACACCAATTGTAAATTGAACTTCTTGGGAAGAAAAAGAATTCTTTGAGCAAACACAGCAACAGCAACAGCAACAGCAACAAAACATTTTTTTAAAAAAAAGACACATATAATTCACATTTCCAGAAAAAAAAAGAACTCAGTAAGAACAAACATACAAATCAAAAACCAAAAACTTCTCAACAAACCAAAAAAACATTTTTTTATATAAAAAAGCATCACCATTTTTATCCCCAAAAATAAAAAAAACTAAATCTTTGTTTCAAACTAATATCAAAGGGAAAAAAATCGAACTCACAAGAATTAAAGGAAAGAGAAGAGAAAGATATACGTATATAAAAGGATAAGAAGGGATAATTTTTTTAATGACAATATATAAGGATCGAACCCATAACAAAAGAACCATTTGTAGATCATACCAGTGAATCCAAACACACACATAGAGAGAAAAACAATCTCGACCAGAGAATCAAACAAAGATGAGGTCAATGCACACATCAGAGCAAAACCAGACCGACAGTCTCATAAATGATGAATTAAAAATATCTGGGACAATTCCCTACTAAGCAGATAGGAGATAACTGATAACTTTGTCTGATGAGGAGCTAGGGCGACAGTTTAATTACAAGCGTCTTGGCGGGCACAGTCAATTATGAGCGTTAAATGAAGTGTGGTAAGGTGGTAATGACGCTATCGTGACAAAGTAGTAAAGGCCAAGAATGATGATCACATGGAGCAAGGTCACCTGGTTGTTGACCTTTTGCTAGCCGTGGGTCGGTGCGATTGTCTGGAACGATCAACCGAAGGATCGAAGCCAATCGAGATGGTCCTCTGACCCTTTGTAGGGGACACTAGTTCGAAGAGACAAATAAAAACAGACGGGTTAAATGATCTACTGGGCAGTGAGTGGTCATACAGTCAGGAAAAGCGTGCCATACCTATTATCACTGGATCGAATGACATAGTCAATTCTTGAACCTCTTCATTGGGGTCGTCCAGCTCTTCTTTCAAAGGTTCTAGTGCAGACATCATCATTTTGCGGTGCCCATCTTTACTTTCAAGATTTGAAAGTGAGGAATCGGCTATGCCTTCAGAAGGGGAAGATCCACGTGTCAAATGATCTACAGAGTTAGATCGATCGCTATTTTCAGCTGAAAGAGTGGGTTGCATACTACTATCATCTGTTGTAGCAGGTGACATTATGTCTGTTGATGAGGTAACAAGGTCTTGTGAGGGAGTGACAGGTACATCAGAAGCCGGCGAAGGTTGAAAAGCGGTCGGATGTGCCTCGGTAACTGAAGGATAAGGTTGGAGTGGTGGTATTGGAAGTAACCAGTCGGACCAATCGCCCTTCTTTCTGACTAGATGACGTTCTGTATCGACCTCCAAATAGGCACTCAAGCTCATCACTTCTTTGATCAAATTCTGATCAGTCGATAAAGTCTTGATCCGATTGAATGAACTGATGGTATCAATCTTGACCCATCCCTCATTATCCATCTATGATGACAACACCCATCAGCAAACATTATCTGAAAGACAGTAGATGCTATTTTACTTACATGCGATCTCAGGAAACAGTCTTTAACTAGATTTTCAAGACTGAAGTAATATTCACACTGTCCTAAAACGTAGTATTGCACTGGGTCCAGCGGATATGGATAAGCGAGTAATGGAGCAGGACGGTCGTAATTACCAAAAACTGGATAAGCTTGTTTGGGCGCTAAACCACAGATCATGGACGGTTGAGAGGTGTGAAGAAAACCATCAGTATAACAATGACACATGTGATCATATTTAGAAAAGACAAACGTGGTGATGTTAAGCTAGACTGGGCGTCAGACATTGAGGCTGAAGACCCATGAGAAGAGGGATAGTACGGATGTATTCCATAATACATCGAGGCATCCTGGCATGCGTGATCACCATGAGGAGAAAGAGGACCCGAAAATGTGTTGGGCACAGGTGGGTAAAATGGATGTGCAGGGGAGTGGAGATTAGACTGGGATGGAGAGTAATTCGTGGCCATCACGCCCGAAGCCAAGTTACAGGACGACATCGTGGGCGTGGAATTAGATGTAGGAGAGTTGGGATGCGAGACATATTGAGACGAGCCGTAAGACAGAGGGGGGGCAGGGTGTCCGTTGGCCGGTGCCGCGTAGCTTGGAGGATAAGGGTTCGTGAGGTGGTTAGGCGTTACAGGATAAGGATATGGGGGTTGAGAATACCAGGCCTGCGAATCTTCAGCGTGTCGTGGACCACCCCCACGTCCTCGCTCAGAGTTGGCATAGCCACGAGATTTGTGATTGCTAGAAGATCTGACAGCATTCCCGCGATTGCCTCCAGAACTTTTCCCGCCGCTGCCATTAAAGTTAGGTCGAGCAGCATTTCCACTCTTGCTAAGCTGTCCAGGAAGTTGTTTCCGAGGCGGCGACTCTTTCCACGCATGAGTGGAAGTACCATTGGAGTACTGAGAATACGTCGGAAGTGAATTGGACACGGTATCTGAGTATTTTGAGGATGTAAAGCGAGAGGCGTTAGACCTTGCAGGGTCTCTTGATTTGGGCAGTCGGGCGGAAGACGGCGAATTGCGGCTATATGAATTTTTGCGATCACCAGGCTCTCGTGCGGCGTCGCGGCCGTCCTCAGAACCGGATGTGCCTTTCCAAGACTTGCGTCTCGTATGATGCGCGCCAGACTGTTTCTCAGGTTGAGTAGAGTCAAAGGTATCTGGCATGAATCTTGGTGCCTTAAAATCCACGCAAGGCTGTGGATCTTCTGTATCTTGGGCTGTGCTGGGCAATGCATTTGGAACTACAGAAGGATTGCTAGGCTTCGAGGCGATAAGAGAGTTCGCAGGCTGCAACTCCGTACTCGAAGACAAAGTTTGCGAGGCCAACTTGGCATCCCCAGATCCACGTAAGATATTGTCGAACGGATCCGAGCGAGGACAAGAGTCGGTTTTGCCCAGCGAATGAGCGTCCAGGACCATCGCTGCTGAACATGCGCTGTCCTCAGAGGTCATGCATACCGGCATGGTACCGTCACTCATGATCAGAGGATCATTCACCCAAACATTTCCCTGCGGGGCATTGACATGTAAATCTGGTGAAGGAGAAGGAGAAGGAACTATAAGATAAGGCATCGTGCGAATTTACAAGGTGGGAAAAGCACCTACCGTACTGTCCTCTGGCTCTTAGCGAAGTTGGTAGCAGAGGCTCGGTGAGACCGAAGTCTACAGGAACCCCGATGTATTTATCTGCGAGGCCGGCACTGAGCTCCATCGCTGGAGGTTGAATTGTGGTCGATATACGTGGTATAAACCCAGGTTTTCGAGTTGGACCATTTGAGCACGCTGGTGAGGGCGTCTCGTCTGCTGAAGTTTGCGGTCGCATCAGCACTGCGGGTCACCTGACCGAACCAAAGATATAGGACAAGAGAGAAATAACGCATCAACGCACCACTTGAAGAGCCATGATTTGGAAGCGCGGGCAACACCGTTGATGCTGCAATCACGTTTGATGTCACATTCAGGTTACAGAATTGATTAGTTGAAACTTGATTGATGCCCTGGGAATAATCGTGTGAGCCATTAAGACTCCTAGGATAGACTAGATTAAGATGCGCATTCCCGTGATCGGTGGAATGATGAGGTGTGTGTCGGTTCGAGTCTGAGTGAATATGACTGGAGTCGAATTCTTCCAAAGAATTCTTTGAAGTCCGTTCCAAGTTGGTAGGCACATTGGAAGCCGAGCCAGACAGCCTACTAGACTTGGACCCACTACCATGTCCATTGGCATGATGTTTATTCGATTGAGATGATCGATTGGATCCAGATTGCGTACCATCCTTCTTGTGAGACCGTTGCACTCTCATAGAGGCAGAGTGGTTGGTGGGAAGGGGTGCGTTATGTGTGATGTCCGCTTTGATGGGTTTCCATTGAATCTTTTTTGTGTGGGCAGGTTTTTTATCGGGTTCAGCTCTGGGTCCGAGATCTCTATCATCGACTTCTTGTGGGGCAGGGGGAGGAGATAAAATCGAGTGGTTCATCTTGTTGGATGTGAAATTCTCTTCGCTAGGAGCAGGCCAGGCAGTGGTATCCACAATCGAGGGCAATGATGGAAGTTGTCCTGCTACTTGCGTCGGAGATAAAGAGTCAAGAACAGAGTGTTTATCCGGCTGAGCTGAAGACGGCACTGAGGGAGCATCTGATTTGATGGTCTTTTTTGATGCATGAGAGGCCGAGTGATAGCGCTTAGACATCTCTTCTTTGCGGACTTGCCAGACGTTGACACTTGCGCTCAATGGGGTTTTGGCGGACGCCGGATCGGAATGGGCTAAGAGCGGTGGTAGGGTCGGGTGACCGTTGGATTTTTCCAAAGACCTTCCAAGAGTATCATGATCATCGACATGGTGAGTGTTAAGACTCAATTGAGAGATGATTGTTTGGTCGTCTTGGTCCGAGCCTATGAAAGTGTCGTAAGTGAGTAACTGACCTGGTACGAGGATGAAAACGCATTCTAGGCCTGAAAAGTAAAAGTGTGTGTTCAAAAACTCTATATAAGTGAGAGCATACCTTGATTCAGACGGGCGATTGAATGATGCTCTTGAGCAGAAGAGGCAGGTGTTGAAGGTGCAGTTGAGGTAAAGCAGGGTGTGTTAGTAGTAGTACTACTTCGACTGGTAGTTGTACCTTTGGCCACACGGTGATCGACTGGAGGTGGGGTGGAAGCCAAAGGAGGCTCTGAGACCGAATTGGAAGCTGGCTTTCCTCGAGCACGATCAGCCCAGGATTGCAAAGACATTTCGGATCGTCAGCCTAGAGGCGACAAGGAATGATTATCGAGATTTGAGGAACGATGTCAATGGATGAAGTTAATTCGTTAGTTGGTCAACCAAGGTTGATAGGATGATGAGAAGTAAAAGTAGTCAGTGATTGAAAGCACAGTGAGATGAATGAGTTGAATAGAAATCAGTGGCGATGAAAAAGAAAGATTGGTTTTTTGAAGGTCAGGAGATACAAAAAGCCTTCGTTGACCGAGAGAGGCAAATTGAACTATTCTAATCTGAAATGTACAGCAAATTGATTGACTGTAAATTTACATAGATTTGGTATTGGGGATTTCATTTCTTCTGTTTTGCCATAACTTTTGATTCGATCGGCGGAGAAGACCAATAAAGTATGGATGTAATCAGCTATACCTCTCTATACACATAATTCACCCCACAACATATGTACACATTCTTGAGAACACGATTGAGCATAATCAACTTGTACCAATTCCTTCTTTGACAATTTTTCTTCATTTTTTATCAATCCAATCAGCCTAAATTCAGATCCGCACCAAAATTCAAGAGAAAGCTGTGCATTATTGTATACATCTTCCAACTCCTTTGAAACAATACTTTCATTATTTGAACAACTGTCAAAAGTTACAAACATGTCCCATTGAGAGCATCCATAGCCGGGCCATAAATCCGTAACATACGGGGGGTCACACAGATTGTTTAGGTAAGTGTTTGAGGTATGAAATTTGAACATTGTACAGCTGTGGTTCCCTACAGTACAGTTTGCAGCATAATTTGCAAGGTGAGCTATGGCTTAGTTGATCATGGAGGTGTATGACTTGTGGACAGTCTGATATTACAAGCTGGAGTTTATGGGAAAAGTGGGGTACAGAAGGATTTAGGTTGAAAGTGGAAAAGGGACAAATTTGGCCTATTTTGGCTTGCATGTAGAGAATTGCCTAAGCTAAATATGTGTTTGGGGGTAACAGCTGTGGATAAAAATATCTCAGATCTAAGTATGTATGTTTATGGCACATGGATGTGGATGCCCTGAGGTACCAAAAATCATATCTTTATGTCCAGGTCTGTTGAATTTTGAACATCTTCCATCAAGGGTAAATGTGACAAGACTTGGGTTTCAACTTACACCAGTCAAGTTTCCCACATATGAAATTGATTAATGTTGTTGATAGATAAGTCTGATTCCTCAAAAGTCAGATCTTTCAATTTGACATCAAAACCTTTCATTTGTCCAAAATCAATTTCCTTGTCACAATTTCAAGTCCAAATGACATTCTACTGCATTGGCTTCACTCCTTCTTTGATGTTGGATGCTAGAACAACCATCATCATTGGTGGAGGGGTCCCAAGAGAACCAGAGAGTCATGCCAGGTTATCTTTTAGTGGCAGTCTACTTGTTGGTAAAATAAGTTGCTACTTCTCAATGACAAAAAAGATGCCTTTAACAAATGTAAACAATAATAGATTTCACAACAGCACATTGACAGGACTCAAGGAGATTAAAAGAACTAGGCAAACCTTTAAATAAAGTAGACAATAATGAATCTCATGGAAGCAAGTTGACAAGACTTGATAAGATTGAAAGAAATAGGCAAACCTGGGGTTTGTTAAAAGAGAAACTGACAGAAAAATTGATAACAAAAGGAATAAAGTGAAATAAGGCAGTAATAATATATTGCAAACCAGGATACATTGAAGTTTCAATATTTAAATCATTAACTTTGAAGGAAAAACAAAAAATATTACCTATAGAATTGATTTCCTCAAACAGGAAGAAATTCTAAAGGGCAAGAATGAGAGGAACATATATAACACAAATGAGAAAAACCCAAGTGGAAACACAACTGGACCAACACCCCTCTGTACCGTTTCAACAGCTACTATCCATTGATCTCAATTTAATATTTAGTTACTTATTGCTTGCTTCTTTAATAATTAATTTGATTACTCCAAATAGGATAATGTGATTAAATACCTTAACACTTGAATTTCTTGACCACATTCCAACATTCTCTAACAGTTGGAGTGCATCCATAACATTGGATGGTGACATTCAAGGATATTATGTTTTAGTGATTCCATTTCTTGGGAGTGACAGCTGACACATAGGGCCAACCCCAAAAAAGTTGAGCCAAGGGATTATTCAGGTCCAGAAGATTTGTCAGCTGAATACCATGGGTGACACTCTCCTTGGAGTGATAAATCTGAGCACTATTGAAAAGCATTCCCTGGAGCCAAACATGTAAATTCACATCAAATGAAAATGGTCTTCTATGTTCTGCTCAAGCATTGGATCATGAAGCAGCCTGAAGTATCTGAGCATAAATAAAACCATGTAAAAAATAACTACAGTTGAAGATAAAAAAATCATATGATAAATGTCTTTACTTCAGAATTGTTGATATTGAGTTGAATTGATGAAAATTTGAGAGATTAATGAAAGTAATGAAGAGCTACCTGCCAAATAGGACCAATCAATATACTATTTTATGGATGTTTGAAGAGATATAAAGTAAGACAGAGGTGTTGAAAATGTTGTCACCAATTAAAAAAACCATGATAACTATGATATTAAAAGATAAAATTGCCTCTTGATATCTTCGAGCAGATAAGGAAAGGAAAGAAGAGTCATAAATATTTATAATCATTCAAAAAAATTACTAAAAAAAGTACTAACTGCAGGTTTGATTTAACTTTGGGGTCACGAGGCTCAAAGAACTGCATTCAAGCAAATTATGTATAATTTGGAACACAATTTCATCCCACCGCTTTGCCCAGAAATATGTACATAGTTCCAAATCATTCACTAAAGTGGTCCTAATAAATTTGTCACACTTGGTAACCTGTATTTGACCAAGTAAGTGCAATCACAAAGGCAGATGTGGATTCTATGTAAGTGTGTACATGTATGTTTTTGAGAGATAATGCACAAGGTAATCACTTTCCAAATTTGACCTTGATCCAAGTACCACAGGGGTGATATTCCACTGCTGTGTAAACAGCCCTACATTTTGGTAAGTTTGCTTCACCTAGCCACAGTACTGTGAATGCCTGAAGTGATGAACAAGGCTTTTTGGTCAGCAAGACATAGCTTTTCACCAGGATTGATACCAAAAGCCTTGGACTTCCCTAGTGACAATATTCAAGGGCATCCTGGAGAGATAAAAGATAGGATTTAGAAGTCATCAGATATATGTAGTCTATGTCACCTTGAGCTAGGTGCCTTTCAGTTGTGATTATATCTATCCATGAGACTAATTGAATGTGATCATTGGTCCAAAGTGTAGATAGGTTTATCCTTCTGTTGGTGGTATCAAATGACATTGACATCTAATTGAGAAACCAAGCCTTACAAGAGATGTTTTGATTGTCAACAGCTTTAAAACTGTGGTGGGTCAAGTTTACTGCATTCACACATCCACTGAGTCCTCTGTGTGTAGTGCCAAGGTGCTCTCTCACATTTGCAAAGGGTCAACATGGCATATACCCAAGTAGCTTTACCACCACCTGGCTGCCGGCTATTGCTCAAGCCTTCTACGTGAATTCAAATTTGGTGGCTCTATTGTGGTTCCCCTCAAGGGTCCAATTTTCCACCTCCATGTTTGAAGTACCTTTTGTGACTCAGACTGCACTATAGAGACAGCCATTGTATTGGATTTCAGTCTGTGCCATGATTCTGAGAGTTAGCTGTGTGCTTGATTAAAATGGCTCCTTTTCTACCCTGTCCTACTACATTGTACCATCAACCCTGTGGATTAACATAGAGAAAACTCAACAGATCAGTCAAGTTTCCTCTGTTTCATCCGAGCTTTTTATGCAATCATCCAGCAGCACACTTGAGCCATCTTCCCATCTCCTCATCTCCCCATGGCAGAAGAACCTATGGGTGCACAGTCCCCACTTCTTGTCAAATTCTTACAACATCAAGGGTATTCAGGATTCAAGAAGTGGCCTCAAGAGGTGACAAGAAGGGACATCAGAAGTTTCTCAAACTTCTGGAGGACTTCTGAACTCCATAACCTAAACCTGCTTATACCCCTTACACGCATTCATGGTGTGCGGCGTCTTTGAGTCCCCTTAAAACTTGCTGCTGGACTGACCCACAGCATGATCAGGTGGTATTGATGTGATGTGATGAAGATCATAACTTCATGGGGCTCTCAAAGTTACTAAGAAAACTGAAGAAATGTCACTCAAGAAACTTCTGGAGCAACTTCTTGATGTCACTTCTTGACACTTCTAAAAGCCACATGTCCATAGGCTTGTTAGAAAGTTTGCTTTGTACAGAGAATGGAAATGACTTGGGCAGGATGGCGGCTTCTAGTACATATAGCGTAGACAAATATGGTTCTGGAATTTCCAGGAGGGGTTTTCCAGAATGCCATAAGGTTTTTTTGTTATGTTCTGACATTGTGACATTCTGCAACTTTGAATGCACCACACTCCAGAATGCCAGAATCCTCATGACTAACCCAAACCACATACTCTGCCGGCGCACCCCTCCTGCCCACTCACATGAAACACTAAATCACATCATTGTTTGTCTCTCAGACTCTTATCTTGAAACCAAGATACCACTCCCCCTGCAATGGCTTGAACAAGGCAACATTGACTTCTGGAATGGTCCATCCACCTCACAAATAACAAGAAGAATGGAAACAACAATAAAATTTTGACAAACAAGAACAAATCTGATGATCATTATTTGATGTTGTTTGAAAGACTTGAATAAGCAAGAGTAGAAATTCAGACAGAAGACAAATTGTCAATATTTTGCAAAATTGTGGAGGAAAGGAACCCGTGGTCTACAGAGGTTCAATCTAGTTAACATTATCAATTGATTTTGATGATCGTTCATGATCTTGTGATGAAACACTTGGTATAACAAAACAACTTGAACAAGACACCTTTTTGAACTTCAGAAACATGTACACGATTACTAAACTTTGTGGAAGACTTCAAAAAAAAGAAAATTAGAACAATCATCGTGTATCAATTGTGGTTTGGGCTGAAAGCAGGTGAAAGCAGAAAATAGACAATCAAGACAATCATTGTGTCTCAATTGATTGCTATGGGGTGAAAGCAGGTGAGAGAACAAAAGAAGATAGAAATTCATCTGGATAATTGTGTACCCAATTCATGTGAGGAACTTGAGTAAAGAAATCATCTTCATCGAGTTGCAATGAGCATCATGTATCAATCCATTTGTTTGTGGTGAAATTTTTGCAAAAAAAGGTATCATTAGGAATTTTGGTCTTGTCTCGAATGCCAGAAGGGTTCCGGCGTTCCCGAAAAATCCTTCTGGAAATTTACAGAACCATATTTGTATACCCCAAGAGAAGAGCCTCGTCTGATCAGTTGGGTCTGGTGATAGGTGGTCCAAATGTTGATGTTTTGTGTAGCTGCTACACCCGGTACAATATCCAGGGGAGTTTTCTGCTCCGTTTTTTTAACACAAATCGATTTGTATTTCGGGTGAAGATGTGAAGTATTCAGTAGTTTCTGCTTAGCTTATCTTACCCTCCTCATTTTACCAGTGTGATTTAGAAGTTGTTTGACCCAAGGAAAGAGTTTGCATGGAAGTATATTAAGCTCGTTCTCTGCTTATTCTAAAGATGAGCAGGCTTGTTCTGAAATGCGCCCGGGTGGACCGCTGAGTCGGTGGGAATCTGTTCGATCCTACGTTGCGAGATGAAAGTGGTGATCGCAAGCGAATCGAAAGTCGTGCGTTGGAATCTGTTGACGAACCGCCGCATGTCACTTTCGTAAGTGGTTTGCTTTTCACGCCATTTATGATCTTTAGAAACCTTTTTGAGTTGGTTGAACAAAGCGTCTTTGTTTGATAAATAGACGCTCTGCGCTACATCCTGAAATGTTTTTTCCACTTCCGTTTGATGTCATTGAAGCTAGCCCGGAACCCCGTGCCTGGGCATACTACTATTCGATGGCCTCAGAGTCAGGCTGCGTTATTATTGCCTGGCTCATGGGCCATCTATGGGTCAATGGCACTTCGATCGGTGAGGTCTGTGCCAGTTAGCGGCCTAGACCAGCTTCAAGGGCTTTGGTTTGACCACCAGCCTTTTGTCTTATTGGTCTCCAAACTGGCCTCATCATCAATACTTGCCTTTGTTCGCCTCGCCAATTATTCAGTAAATCATCTTAACACGTTCTTTTGAACTCAAACCACCTCCGCCTTCAAACACATTCCTCACATTCTTGAGGACATCTAGCCTTTCATTTTAGTCGTTTCCTCACCTCACGTAAGCAACAAGGTCATCATAACGCAACATCAGTCATTACAACGCAGCGACTGAGTATCATCGAGAAGACAGTCTCTTATTATCAACAGATTCCAGCACTTGTTCGACTTCACAACTTTTTCAAGCTTTGTCGTTATCTAAACCATTGGATTCCAATTGGATCAATCATTTTTGAAAATGGTATCTGGTCACAGTCGAGGGACCTCCTGGGCCAGGACTGCTTCAGCAGTGCTCGCTATAACGTCACCCGCAGCTATCATTGCTTCACCTTCCCCAAATACGTTCGAGGTCGTTGGGGTCACAGGCGTGTCTGCTCAACAGCTCTTCGTCGCAGGTGTAAATAAGGTACGCCGGTGTTCACCTCTAACCTTTTCTCTCTGGTTGTTTACGCATGCCTTTGCTTTTTACCCACAGGCATACATCCTTGATAAAGTTGAAAACAATCCTACCAAACTTCCTGGCACTTCTCATCCGGCGTGGGCTACGGAATATGACCTTCGAAGTAAGTCTCATTACCTTTTTTTATGTTTCTTTTGCCGTACTGACGAGGACAAAACTTTTGCCATTTTCCAGCTAACACTTTTCGACCGATGGCGTACGTATCCTGAAGTTCATACTCTTGTCTCACCAATAACTTTCCCTCATAATTTGATTTGTTCCGATCACACAGGGTCGCTACGAACACTTTCTGCGCTGGTGGGGCCGTACTTGGTAATGGAACGTGGCTTTCGGTAGGAGGAAACAAAGCAGTAACCTCGGGAGGACTAGATGGTGTGAATCTGGCAGGACCATATGGCAATGATGACGGCGCCAAATCTATCAGACTTTTGGATCCATGTGACAACGATACCAACTGTCAGTGGGTGGTCAATCCCGGAGGTAACCTCTTACAAGCTAAGCGTTGGTATCCTACCGTAGAGACCTTAGAAGATGGAAGTGCAATGATTGTGAGTGCTACTTTCATTGAAATACTGAGCTGTCTTTTCACCAACTCACCTTGACACTTCTACGCCTAGATCGGTGGGTGCACAGATGGTGGTTATGTCAACGATGCCAATCAGAACATCCCAACCATTGAATATTTCCCTTCGAAGGGAACTCCAGTCGGGCTCAATTTCTTGACCACAACACTACCTGCAAACCTTTATACTCTCACATGGCTACTCCCTTCAGGAAATATTTTCTTCCAAAGTAATCTCGCCACAGAGATCTTCGACTACAAGAAGAACGTTGAATATCCTCTTCCAAACATCCCTCATGCTGTCCGAACATACCCTGCTTCTGCAGCTACGGCTATGCTACCTCTGACCCCCAAGAATAACGTAAGCTCGATAAATGCACTAATCACCTTTGGATCCGACGACTTCATACAATTTTGATTTTTTTTCGTTTTCATTCCTTGCGTAACAGTACACAGCAACGATTTTGTTTTGCGGGGGTACCGACTTGCAACCCGACCAATGGGTTACAAACTGGAATATTGCAGCGTTAGTCTTCTCTTGCCTTTACTCTAATAGTATCCACCCTAACCCTTGAATTATTAGTTATCCCGCCGACAGCTCTTGTGTAAAGATGTCGCCAGATGTTTCTACCACTTGGGAAGAGGAGGATTCCTTATTTGAAGGTCGAAGCATGGGGCAGTTTGTGATTATGCCAGACGGAAGATTATGGATGGGTAACGGTATTGGGAAAGGAACCGCTGGGTACGGAAACACCAGCTGGGCCATTGGACAGTCTTTCGGTTCAGACCCCATATATGCACCGGCATACTACGATCCAAACGCTGCCAAAGGTTCCAGATGGTCAAGACCAATGACCAATGCAACTGTTCCTCGACTTTATCACTCCGTTGCATCTCTTTTGAGTGATGGCTCTATCTTGACTGCGGGTTCAAATGTATGTCATCTACTTTTAGACACGCTATTCTTTGAGCCGCTGATTTACCAATCTCCTACATTCTTTTCCCAGCCAAATGCTGATTACATCCCAGCGGGTACGGCGGGATACCCTTACGTGACTGAATACCGTGCTGAGAAGTGTAAGCTATTTATCATCTGCATCCTCCGGGACAAGTTCTAATACCTCGTCTCCTAAACACAGTTTATCCGGATTACTACACCAAGACAAGACCTCAACCTTCTGGTTTGCCGACCTCCTTATCTTACGGTGGAGCCTTCTTTGACGTCAAGATCTCCGCCTCTGATGTACACGACACATCATATCTACAGAACACTCTTGTGTCAGTCGTCCGTGTTGGGTATTCAACACACGCAATGAATATGGGACAACGGTACCTACAGCTCAACAATACCTACACCGCCAACTCTGATGGCTCGGCAACACTTCATGTATCTCAAATGCCCCCTTGTGTGGCTTGTTTCCCACCTGGGCCTGCTTTCTTATTTGTTGTGGTCAATGGTGTTCCTTCACATGGTGTGATGGTCATGGTTGGTACTGGAGCTCTTGGTGCCCAACCGACAACACCTGCTGCTGCTTTACCTGGAACTGTGGCTACCTGGAATTCTGTCTTATCGACCTCCAGTACAGACGCCAATAACGGGGCGAAGAAAGGCGACAGCGCTCGGTCGGTACCTCATCGACAGTTATCAGCTCTCTCAGCTCTCTTTTTGGTCTTCCTTCTCACTTCGCAATTCACATAGAGAACTTGAGAATCAGGGCTCAATCCAGGCTTCACAACTTCTTCCTTAGCCTTGAATCTCTCATTCCATTGAAATAATTTCTCGCGGTCCGTAGAAACCATTCAAGACATGTTACAAGCCTCTATCAGCGTGCCTTTGTTTTCTATCCGCACTTGCAACTCAATCAAATATTGTTATTCATCAAACTCCCTCTCACGTCATTGCACTTTCCAGAACCATTTTTTTCGCCTTTCCTTTTCTATCGCTGATCAATTTGCTGACAATGTTGACCGATGTTGCTTGTACTGAATTCACTTTCATTTGCCTTTTTGACCATTCAAGAGTCTTTTCAATATATTTTATTTTTGAGAACACATTCTACCTTCCATTTGGCCCCGAAGAAATAACATGGAGTTCAATGCAAATTGCTCTAGAGTAAACATAATGACCTCATATATCACCAGACCCTCTATGCGCCCACATATACGAAAATATCGCATTGTCAACACGTACGACCTGTACGCTGAGAAGCTTGTATTTTGTCATGTCTTTTTCAAGTGGCAACCAAATCATTATTCCCAGAAAAACACGAATGTTCATCCAGACCCAAGTGCCTTCTATTTTTTCTACAGAATTGTAAAGTGACCACAAGGGCCCGCCATGAGAATTCAATTACAACAATTTTCATCAAAGTGCCTAGCAAAAGATCTGCTATTCTCATCCTTTGTTCACTTATGACTGCTTTGAGGAACAATATCCTTCGTTGTGTCATTTGTCCCCAAATTTCCTCTTCACTATGATGGTTGATCTTCATGGGTTTCTATCCTCACAAGCTTGATAGTTCACCGATTACAAGGTTAACAATGCCATGCAAGGATTTGCGACTTCTGTCCAGTTAAGCCAATGTCCATCTGATCTGTCTTCTACTAGGTCCACAAAGTATTGACTGATTGCTAATGATGTGACCTATAATTATTTCCCATATTGGAAAACCTATAATATGACATGCAGGCTTTCCCACTACAGTCATCTCTGACATAACCCATACCCAAAAAATGTTGCCCAAAAGTATGGGTTTTGCTAGAGTATAGGTTACCTCAATCTCTGTCAAAAGCCATAATTATATATTTGCAGACAAAATATGGGTTATGACAAAGATTGTACAAAACAAAAAATTGACTTCTTGGGAAACCTTAAAAAACATATCAGAAAGAGTCTGCTGCGCTGCTTTGCGGCTTTAACATGTAGCAATTGGCAGTGTTTAACAGAGGCTTGGATGGCCCTTTCATACCCCTGCACTTCTTGTGCATTGTCACTTTCCAAGTAAGATAGCATGATATCTGAGGCTTTGTCGTGGTGGTGGAGGTATATTTCCTACTATAGATTCTTTTTCATTTGCTTCTTGTTGCATATTTTCAAATTTCTTGAAATCTTCCCTAATCTTCCTCAATATTGGCCAAAATGTACTTGGACAGTTTGGAGGAAGTATAATATAAATGAGTTTGTGATGTGTGGTGTGTGAAAGCTAAATAAGGTTGAATAGTGTTAGTATCAATAGAGTTTGTCTGTAAATATTTATGTTTACAGTTTTTCAAGCCTCCCTCAGTCATTTTTTTTTTCAAATGACCCCTGACTTTTATGGGTTATGAACTCTGGTTTCCCTCAAAAACCTTATGGGTTATGGGGTACTACAAAGCTATGGGTTATGGACCCACTTTCCCTGCAATTTTTCTGCAGATGGCCAGATTTGTATGGGTTTTGATGGAGTATGGCTTACAGCACAGATGGGTTATGTCAGAGACGACTGTATTGAATCACTTTTGCAAAACTTGCATGATATATGAGGTAGATTTGAAAAGTGTATGATTCTACTACATCCTATGAAGGGAAATGGTGCATTAAAAAAGGTCTTTTCTCATAAAAAAACCTTTGAGATCTTTCACCCATACACATGAAGCTCCAGACATCCAGATCTAGCGTCTGATTTGATGTTCTTGATCTCCAGATCTTTCATCGTGTTGCTCCTCATCTTATCATCATCTGATTCTCAACAACTACAATGTTTGCCCACAAGCTAGGATCAAGTTCATCCTGAAGCAGTTCAGGCTGTGGATTGAACCCATGGCGGATTAAAGGCATCTCCGATGTTCTTATAATTCATTTTATAATGACACAAGTCTTGATTCAGGATGCGAATTGCTGTGAATGAAGAGATTCGAATTTCTACATGTCGATTTTTACCAGTCAAATTACATACAATAGATAGTTTAGTCACTGCATATAGCATACCTTTTGGGGATTGGGAAAGTAATAATTTGTCCAACTCAGGTAATAACAAACATCTTAAATCACATCTACATAATAGTAATGGTGCGTTCAACTTCCACTCGGCGAAATTGAATCAGCATGAAGTTGAGTCGAGATGAGATTTGCAAATGTTGTCGGAGCCATCGGCCTTGCAAGTTGCCAGTACCCGGGGCCGGTCCTTATAACATGTGACATCAGGAGGTGCTGCGGATCTACGGCGCATAATCGAAATAGTTTCCGCCCGGTCCTCAACGAATCAGCCACTCCTTCATCCAACGTTTCGATTCAGCTTCACAAGCTTTTCACATCAAGCCATCTTAAACTCGAAAGACCAACCGATCTTAAAAAATGTCGTACGTTATCTTTGGAAAGTAAGTGGTTTAATTAATTTTTTGTCTCAATTTTCATCCAACCTCAGGCATTCGGCAATAGGCTCACTTGATGACCAAGCGTATCAATTCGAACTCTATTAGCATTTGCTTCTACAATCATTCACATCTAAAAATTCATATTTTAATTTGGATTGCTAACCATTGTGTTCTTTCTGAATTGATTTTGTAGGAAAGTCCTCAATGAATATCTTGCACTTGGAACCTTTGTGGTCAGCGACAGCCTCAGAAAATGACACCCATCAGTTCAACCAAGCTGACCGAAACTCTGATCTACTCATGTTGGAATACTCTTTCATATTATCAGGCCTTTGGAACAGGTGTTGCTCTCTCAATGCGTGGATCTAAGTCTACATCACAGACCGAAATCCCCCAACCCGTAATTGCTGCCTCTTCAAAGTAAGCTATTCAGTCTCATTTGAAACAAGAATTGGAAGACCTATTCATGCGCACTTCATGATCTTAATGAATATACACTGATATTCTTGTTTTGGATTCTACTAGGGATGAAGAAGCTTTCATTCGAGATTTCGTTAGTGTTTAGCCCACCTCGATTATCCGAAATGAATCGTGCTGATATCCTTGCGTCATTCAGGTTGCTAATATGGAACGGGAAGATGCAGCAAGCAAGAAACATTGAGTTGGGATTACATCATACAGTTAGGTTGGTGGCAAGATCCCCAACTCCTACTGAATATGTAACGGGAATATCTTTTCCTTTTGCTTTCAACATATGCCTCAACAAATTTAAAATCTGATGATTCGGCCGCCTTATCTCAATGGGTTTCTTCACCTCTTACTGCAAGCAGACACCTGAACCTCCCGAAATCTACTCACACCGTGACCTCGGTGGTGTAGCTTGTAGATTTTATAGCAAAGCTTGCGTGCGACTCAACACACACTGCAAAGACTGTCATAATGCAACGCTCATGAGATCGGACTGAAACAATGAACCTGATATTAACGTGTCACTGTCTCGATCGCGATTTCCTCTGTTGCCGATTCATTTGGATGTCCATGAAAGAGATTATCGAAGAAACATCACTTGCCTGCTTTTCAGAAGGTATGACATACACCGCTTCTCAGTTTGCCGGGAGAGACTAGGTTGAAGCAAATTTCCGAAAAAGTGCAATATCACATGATCTGTGATCAATATTTGCTTTGACTTGATTAACATGTAAAACTGTGATGAAGGAAAACGTTGAAAGTTTTTACATTGCAACTGCTGTGAATCTTGACATTCTTGCCATTTTCGGATTGGCCATCAATCAAGCTTATGGTCGACCAAATTGCAGATCTTGTACGCTTCGTAGCTTATTACACAAGCCACCTGTGGAACGAGCGTTGGTGTGTTGCGCAATCTAGGTCCGCTAAAGTCCTGAGAGTGATCTGCCTTAAGCCCAACGTAATGAACATTCAGGTTATTCTGACAAGAAAGGGTAAATGAGCACTTTCCTTGAGACTATTGAAATTTGTTATTCTGACAAGAACAGCAAGTGATTAAAGAGTAAATAAGGGTAAATGAGCACTTTTCTTTAGACTTTTGTATGCAAGTGAGATGTACATACATCCTTGATATTCTGACTGGCCAGGGGGAGTCACCTCAATCTAAACTTCGCGTGTTTATCCAAATTGACATTTTATTTATCTTAGCATCAAGTTTAAAGTTTACATATGATAAGCACATTCCATTCCATTATTTGTTTGAGCCAATTCAATCTTCCATTTGTAACGGTAAACCCAATCAAATCATTTTGTAAATCTTAAGCTTGGTTGAGGTTCAGCTCCTGCACAGCTTTATGTCTGTATGTGTGGAATTTACCTCTCGATCCAAGTTGAATTTTGTTGATCATCTTCAGCCTTTCCGAATCCCGATGAGCGCCCCACGGAGCCTGTTGGAAGCACGATGATTGATTGCACATAAATAATCTCACAGGCTTTCATATGATTTGTGATGTTTGTCAACTTTGTCAGATTTTGAGCCTGCTTCGCTTTCCTTAACTTTTGGTGTACACCTTTCCGCCAGCTTCATTCATATCTCCACTTGACTCTTGACTCTTGAGCATTTGTGATTGATCTTATCTCATCATCGTATATATAAATCTTAAATTATGAATTTAATAGTTCGATGTACAACAATTCCCAAGAGGAATCCTATAGCCATCATTCAGTTCATTCTCCTCTTATTACTTATTCAAGCCATCCATTACGTAGAAGCGGTGAACACACTCTATAATGAATCTCAACTTCAAATCAATACTACCTCTGGTCGGTTCATCGGTCTTAGCACTCATCTCGAAACACCTCACCCTGTGAGTTGTTGGCTCGGTATACCTTATGCCGAGAAACCTATTGGTCCATTACGATACAAAGCGCCTATTCCTCTCATCAACCAAACCCAATCCTCCGAGTCCGATCAACCGCTTCAAACAGCATGGGAATTTGGAAATGCTTGTCCTCAGGGACCTTCACCAGATATACCGGTACCAATCTCAGAAGATTGTTTATCACTCAATATTTATAAACCTACTGAGCCACCACCAAGTCCAAAGCAGAAAACTTTTCAAAGTTCACATCCACTTTTACCAATTTTAGTTTGGATTCATGGAGGTGGTCTCACATATGGATCTTCATCTCAATATGATGGGAGTGGTGAGATACATAGTTTACTTGAATTATCTTCTCAATATCTTCAAGTACCCTTTTTAATCTATTTCTTCCTATAGCCATCGTTAGCCATAGTCATGGAATGAAAAAACCTATTATAGTGATCACGATCAATTATCGGCTCAATAGCTTTGGATTTGTAAGTTTATCTTAAAAGACCAAGTTAACACTGAGGTTTATATATTGAAAGATATAAGACTTTCCTCTAATCCTATACGACTTGACACTGATATTTCGTGAATCAAACATTGGGGGATTTGATTCGTGTTTAAAGTTGGCTTCGGATACTTTACCCGTTGAAGACCTTTCTGCTGGACTTCAAGATCAAATAGCTGCACTTAAATGGATCGGAGTCAACGCAGCCAGCTTTGGAGGAGACGTGAAAAAGTGAGCGTGGAAAATCTCGTTCACCGAAGTAAGACCACTGATCCAATTGATCCAATATAGAGTGACGATTTGGGGACAGAGTGGAGGAGCCTTTTCGGTTGGATTGTTAATGACTTATCTTCCACAGTCACAGAACCTCTTTAGAGCTTCTATCATGGACTCTGGTGGAGCAACAAGGTATGAATTTGATTCATACCTAGAATTTCCTCACCTTCATAAATAATATCTTAATCTTTCATCTTTCAATCTCAGTCATCCAGTACCACCAGTATCAACATATGATGAAGCAGAATTCCCATACAAGATCTTATTAAACTTTACAGGTTGTAATGATCTTAAAAGTCAATTCATGGATTCTTTAGATTGTCTTAGATCTTTACCTGAAAAACTTTTAACTAATCTTACGGGAAAATTAACACAGTATGGTAGATTTCAAAAACAAATCATTTGGAATCCAACTTGGAAGATCGGATCTTGGATTAATCAAAGACCATCTAAAAATTTAAAATCTAATCAGTTTCTTAAAATTCCTGTGATCATGGGATGTAATCAAGATGAAGGTAAGTTGTTTGAATCATCATTATAAAAAAATCAATGACTTGAATTTTCTTTCATCTTATACTTTTCTTTAACTGATGTTTTTTTTACAAATAGGTACTTATGGTGGAATTGGAGCTGTTCCAAGTTGGTCAGATGAAGTTATTCATGATTTCAATAGGTACATCGATACCTCCGATCCAGTTACTCAAAAACCCATGATCCTAGACCCTAATCAAAATCAAGATTTATCTTCCAACGAATCCGATCAACTTTTATCAACATTTATATCTAATTCTTCAGTTTTTGATCTTAGAACATCAAATCCTAATGTGTTAAATCGATTAATTCAACTTTATCCTGATCAAGCTGAACTGGGTGCACCTTATTTTACTGGAAATCAAACTTTTGGATTACCTTCTAGTTTTAAAAGATTAGCTGCTTGGTTCGGTAAATCTTTTATCTTTTCTTCTTTAACTTGACTTTTTTAAATATTTTTGATTTGATTTGATTTGATTGATTTTTATAGGAGATGCTCATTATGAAGCTCCTAGACGATTAATGTCTTCTATTACTTCATCTCGTCAACCTACATATGTATACCGTTTCACTGGTCCAAGAAACACTTCTGAGTCTAGTTTCCTAGGAGGTGAGTGATTTTGTATAACTCTAATTTGATGATTCTTTTGATATATTAAGAAGATCATTTTTCTTTGGTTGAATGGAATCAATTGATTCTTGGTTTAGTACACCATAGTGCAGAATTCGCTCTTATCTTCGATAGTGGTTGGTATCAAGATTTAACAGATGAAGATAAGGTTGCAACTTATGCTTTATCAAAAAAGATGAGAACATATTATATTAATTTTGTTAATGAACTTGATCCAGGAAGTAAGTGTTTGAATTCAAGTTTCAATTTTTCAAAAAAAACCTATAAACTTGATTTGTTAACTGTTTCTTTCTTAATTCATATAGAAGATTGGCCATTATACAAACCAGAGAGTAAACTTGTGATGAAACTTGATAAATATAATTCATCAATTATTAAGGATGTTTGGAGAATTGAAGCTATGGATTATATGAACAGTGAAGAAGTATTTGATATGTACTCTGTTTAGAAACCAGTTTGATTATTTTTTTCGCGATTCTTTTAAAGGTTGTAAGTGATTTGTAACAGATGAAATCTTTATAATCATCATACATCTTGTTGTTGTAGATCTCATTGTAGAAATGTTGTGGGTAATTTGTACCCAAGTTATCTTCATTTCGATGAGCTTAGCCTTGGCTTTGATTGTTCAGAATTCAAACTGAGTATCTACAGATAGTTCTCAAATGTTGGGATTGTCAAGAACAAGTGGGCTTCAGATTGAAAGAGCTCTTGAGATATGAAAGATAGTCAGAAGTAGGCTGAAGTAGGAAATGCAGTAGTTCAATTGTGTAAGGGTGTGTACATAGTGTAATTTTTGAGTTTGGTCGGATTTAAATTTTAAATTTTGAAATCGTCGATCTTGTTTACCATGAAGAATCGTCTCAGGTCATCAATCTTATCATTCAACTTCAAATCACATTCAATGATTCATTCTACTTATCTATCAAAACACAAACAATCTACAAAACCAATTCATCATTCATCACTTCAATTAAACTCTTCAGAACTGAAATTAATCCAACTGCTAAAAGATTGTGTAAAACATTTAAAAGATCATCAAATCATTCAAGACTCATTAGAAATCAGAATAGCAGGTGGTTGGGTAAGAGATAAGGTATGGAGTTTATCTTTCATACCAATCTTTAACTTGTCTAGTTAATACAATCGATTTTTAAAAGTTATTAGGTGTCGAATCAAATGATTTAGATTTAGCAATCTCTTCATTAACTGGAACTCAATTCGCTCAACATTTCTCAAATTTCATTTCCATTCATTCAAATCAAAAAGATTTAAGTTTAAGTAAGATTGCCATCATTGAAGCAAGACCAGATCAAAGTAAACATTTGGAAACGGCTACGAGTAAATTCTTGAACCTTGAATTGGATTTTGTTCAATTGAGAAATGAATCTTATCATTCTGATTCTAGGATTCCAAGTGATATTGTCAGTTTTGTAATATTTATGAAATGCTTTGATTTCTTTTTGTAAAAAAATTGATTTCGATTCACTTTTTACTTTTTTTCGGTTGGGTTAGAGGTTTGGTACTCCGAAGGAAGATGCAATGAGACGTGATATCACCATCAATGCGTTATTCTATAACATTCATAATGATCAAATCGAAGATCAGACTGAATTAGTAATCATCTTTCCTTATACATTCTCCAATTCTTGATCTTAAACTGATTCTCTTTGTTTTTGGAACTTTCAGGGACTTGAAGATTTAAAGAATGGGCTGATTAGAACACCTTTACCTGCTTTAGAAACATTTCAAGATGATCCACTTAGATTATTACGTTGTATTAGGTTTTCAAGTCGATTTGGATTTCGATTAGATGATCAAATCATTCAAGCTGCTCAATCTGATCAAATCACTGTTAGGATCTTCATCCCATTCTCACCCAAAAGAATCTAAGAAGGATCTCTTCAAAACAATTGATTGATTGATGGTTCTTTTGTTGGAAACAGATGGCTTTACAGGAAAAGATCAGTAGAGAAAGGATTGGAATCGAATTAGAGAAAATGATGCATGGTAAGGACGTTTTCTTTTCGATGATTAATCTTGAAGTTAACTCATCTGTTGATTTTCGAATGTATAGGTCCATCTCCATTATTATCCATAGAACTTATCAACCATCTAAACCTGTATCACTATATCTTTACGATCCCCAAAAGATTTGAAAATGAGATTCCAACCTCAACAATCAAACCAGATCTATCCATTCGAATCTCAAGAGTGATTCATGAATTTCTAAATCAAAAAGAGTCGAATGGGATTCAATTAAATCCCACCTTAAAAGACACTTTGATTCGATTTAAATCAATTTTGTTTATCTCGGCTTCCGTTTCTCCATTTTATCATCAATTTGTTAAACTTAAACAAAGGGACGTTTGGGTAGGAGAGTTTGTGATATCTGAAAGTATTAAAGTTGAGTGATTCCTTTTTCTTTCATCCTCCTGATTGCTTTAACCTAAAAGACCAAACCCAAAGCTGATTTCATTTTTTTATGTGTGGGACAATGTAGTTTTCAAATTACTATAAAACTATTGTTAGTCATTTGTTTCATTCGATTGATTTAATAGAAGAAGAAATCCGACATCAAAAAGAAGACATCACAAGGGGGATTGAAGAAAGTGAAAAGAGGTTAAGATTAGGACAACTTTTAAGATCGGTTCATGTACATGATTTGAATCGAAAAAAATCAAATCAAGTCACTGAAAGTCTAAATTTAAATTTGGATTGGAAACTTACATTAGTTTGGAATTTGGTGTATAGGATCGGTTTATTAAATTCGATTGGTTTGTTTTTTTTTCCAATTCCAATTCTTTGATTTTTTTGTTGGATTTTGGGGAAATGAATCTGATTGAAAATTGGTTTGTGTTTTGGAAATATGAAAATTAAAGATGAAAAAGAAAGTCAAGAGTTGGTGGAATGGTTTAATGGTTTGGTCAATCAAATTGATCAACTTGGTTTAAGTTATACTTTAACACATGAATTCGATTTAGAACTTTTAAATGTTGAGTTTGCAGATTTTTTTTTTCTCATTCATCTTATAAAAAAAAATCACACACATTGGATCTGTCGTCATGATCAACTAATCTTGTTCACTTTTTCCGTTTTTTTCCTTCTTCCTTTTACCATTTTGGTGCTTTTTGGATTGGATTGGATTGGATTTTATCAGGGTAAAGAGATATGTGAAGTTTTAAAAATTAAACCTAATCCTGAAATTTCAAATTATTTAAAGTTTTGTATTAATGAAAAATTAAAATCACCTAATTTAAATAAAGATCAATTAAAAGAAAAATTAATTGAATTGGTTCAATCTTAAATTTGTAAAGTACATATGTATTTCTTCATTATGGTGATTAAACAAAAAGAAATAATAAGGATTTGTAAATACCTGATTTGATTTTTTTTTGGTTTTCTTTTGGGGGGGGCAAAGGTATGGAGATAAAGACATTTTTAAAAAAACACTTTATCATACAACCATTGGAACTAGAGTATATTAAGATTAAAGTAATTTGTTTGAAAGGAAGAAAAAAAGTAACCTTAGAAAATGGAATTTTGATTTGTTTAAAGAGGGACTTGGTTACTTATAACTTAGGATGTGTGTTTTTGCATTGTGTGGTATGTACTATGTACATAGTAATCAATTGTGAATTATAAAGTTGTATGGATTATAAGTTGATTCTTGATCTTATCGGAGTCTCCTACCATTGACAATTAGCTTATAAGCTTAACAAACCCATCATCTGCGTGGCCGTGCTGTGGATTCGTGGTTTTACCTTGCTACAGGCCATTGCTAATAGCGCTAAGCAAAGGACTTGACAATTTCCTTACTCAATACAAGCGGAGAGCGAAAAGTCAAAGGACTTGTGTCTTACACAATCATCATTGACTTCCTCTTAAGCTAGACTCAGACCAGCATAAGATAATGAAACCATGCGTAGGCGTTGGAAGGAAGCGGATGATGATGTTCCAGAAGTTGATGACCAAGGGAAAGATTCAGAACCCAACGACTCAGCCGCACTTCAAACAAATCAAAAACCTCGACTTTCTTGCTGATGGAGTCTTCACCATCCAATTATCTCATTGAGGTTTATTTTTTTGACTTGACCAATTTCTCTTGGTATGTTCCCTTAGGATTTTGAATTGGTTCCCCAAAAATCATGATAATGTGGTTTGTCAAAAGCTTAGACAATTTTCGCCATAGCCAGACTTAATGAGTTTGGCAGGGACTGTGTGGCAACTCTCTGCCCTGACAAAGTCGGTTCTGCTCCACTATATGTTTATGGTGTAGTTTGACTAAATTGCTGCATTGGAGTTCTCTAAAAGGGTAATGATATATCAAGGTTTGGTGTAGGAAATCAGGGACTAGTTCATCTATACATCTCTATTTACTATGGCACTATGATCCACACAAGATGATAATGAGAAAAGACACAAGCAAAATGGCATCAAGCAGAAATAATACCCTCTATCACTGAACTGTGTATGTCAAGGTTGACAAGCATATCCTATCAGATCACACTAATGCTGAGTAGGCCTGATGTATGTGGATGTACAACTATCATTGTTTCTCTACTACTATGAACCAAGCCAACGTGAAATACCAAGCATTCATCCTAGATCTTTTGTAACAAATGAAGGATTGTGTCATCCAGGAATTGCACGTTTCCTGTGGGACCATTGGTTCAATCTGAATCAAGATCGCTAAAAGTCTGGTCCGGAATGTCATAGATCGAGTCATCTACGAGAACATCAGCCAAAGAATCATCAGAGTCAGAGTCGGCGGTGTCGGTTGCCTTGCTTTCCAATCCACCCAGTTTGGTCCCCTCTCTGCCTGAGATACCACGAAAGACTCCAGCTTGATTGAAAGCTGCTGATACCACGAGAAAGGCGGCAATGATGACAAGCTTCATGATAAGATGCTAATTTGCTGACCAAGTGTTAGTAATGGAAATTGTGACAAAAACCAGTGAGTGAAATATTCTAAGACTCACCAAGAATATTCAAGCAATTAAATCTGTTTTTTTGTCAAAGTGGGCTTTAGATGAGAGCTGAGTATATCTAAGCCCATCAGAATGGTAAAGAGAGTAACAATAAACAAGCTCAGTCCAATGATAACATATATATTCCTACATTGTTCATGTAACTGGTTGGCTGACAAAAATAGTAGAGAAACATACCAAGACAATTGGGCAGGTCAGGTGAAAAAACCTTGAGAAGATGATGGAAGAGTGATCAGTGGAAGGGTGGACCTTTTTTATCCGTCAAAGAGCAGCTGAGACACTGGGCTCCGTGTTCTGCCTGCTCATCAATCCTTGGAAGCCGAACATGGCATCAGAGAGATCTGACATTGTGCCTGACACAAGTCCTGGCATGCTTGGATCTCCTGTCAGATTACATAAAAGTTTTGGAAAGCAAGATTCACTTTTCATGACATCACAGGAAGTGGCTCCTGTGAAATAGAAAAGATAAGGGATTGGCTGGCTGACCAAATTTTTCATGAAGATCGGGTTTGGGAGCATGATACTTTGGTTGATTACATCATCTCCGCAAAGCCGAATTGTCTTGGATTCTGAGATGTAGGCTGATCTAAGTTTCATATTGTGGGGAAGCCAATTCTGGTGGTGTATGACATGTTTCCTCTTGATTATTTTTCCTCTGCTTGTAGCACATAAATCTCAAGGGGTGTGATTTCCTGTGCTTATCCTCATCAGCAGTTGCCAGTTTTACAGACAGAGAGTAGAGATTGGCCAACCTGCTGGCTGTCCAGCTGATCATCAAGTCTCAGAAGTGGAACACAATGTTGCAGAGATCTGACACTGCATATGCTTGAAATTGCTTCACAGAGCTTATGAGATTTGGTGTGAGATCTAAAGGCGTAGGCTGGTCTGAGTCTTGTATTTTGCAAAAGCCATTTTTGAAATGTGAATGACACAAGTCCTATGGTACCTGGCTCTGGATTTACTTTTCTTGACACCACAGGCAGCGGTGAAACAGAACAAGATAAGGGATTACCTGAGCTGCTGGCAGACCAAATCTTTCATTGGGGATCATGTTCTGTAACATGATGGTGTGGTTTCTTAAATCACCTCTGCAAAGTTGTATTGTCTTTGATTCTAGAATATAGGCTTATCTGAGTTTTGTCTTGTGGGGAAGGCAACTTTGACTGGGTATGCTGTTTCCTCTTGATTCTTTGGTCTCCGCTTGTATCACATGAATGTTTTACGGGGTGTGATTTCCTTGGCTTGTCATTATCAGCTGTTGCCAGTGAAACAGACAGAGAATAGAGATTGGCAGAGGAGCTGGCTGTCTACCTGGTCATCAAGAAAGTTGAACATGTCATTGCAGAGATCTGATGCTGTGTATGCTTGAAAATGCTCCACAGAGCTCATTAGATTTACTAAAATTTCAAGGTGTAGGCTGGTCTGTGTCTTGCATTTTGCATTAAAGGGGGCTCAGGTTAAGATTTTTGTGGCCTTTTTTTAAAAATTGGGAAAGTTCTTTGACAGTACCAGGCTTTACAAGGTTTTTACAGTCAAAGCAGCAAAATTATGTGACCTGAGCCCCCCTAATAGCAATATTTGAAATGAAGTGAAAAGAGGTTAAGATTAGGTCAACTTTTAAGATTGGTTCATGTACATGATTTGAATAGAAAAAAATCAAATCAAGTGACCAAAAGTTTAAATTTAAATTTGGATTGGAAACTTACATTAGTTTGGAATTTGGTGTATAGGATTGGTTTATTAAATTTGATTGGTTTGTTTTTTTTTCCAATTCCAATTCTTTGATTTTTTTTGTGGATTTTGGGGAAATGAATCTGATTGAAAAATTGGTTTGTGTTTTGGAAATATGAAAATTAAAGATGAAAAAGAAAGTCAAGAGTTGGTGGAATGGTTTAATGGTTTGGTCAATCAAATTGATCAACTTGGTTTAAGTTATACTTTAACACATGAATTCGATTTAGAACTTTTAAATGTTGAGTTTGCAGATTTTTTTTTTC